GGAAACATCACATGAACCTGTCGGCATGGCCACACAGACTCCGACCTACCAAATCATGAGCCAGACAGATTCCGTTCCTGGATCCGCTCGCACCTTCGCACTCAACCCTATTTTCTCGCTCGAGCTCCTTTTCCTCCACGACAAAATTAAAGTTTGAAGCCTTGCCATGGGCTGAAGCACCTCTTTTGCGTTCCAGTGGGCTTCACATTGCCAAATGTCTGGATTACGAGTACCATATGCCGGCGAGTCTTTCTTGTTCACGCCGGAAAACGCGAAGGATGCGTGGGATATGCGTCTTCGCAAGAGCGTGTAAAAGGTCTCCCCTTGGACCGATACACGCCATTATAGCACCACCCATACTTCATGTATAATGAGAAAAATCATGGACGGCAATGAAATGTCTGTGTGGCTGGTCGGTCTCGCGCTGTGCCGTGTTGTATCAAGCATACCCCCGTTTCGAAAAGAAGGATTCATTTTTTGATGGGATCGTTTTCTCTTCAATCTCCTTGTTTCTACGAACATGGAATCGGCTGGCTCCAGAGTTTGTGAGGAGCCCATGCGTGGCTGTGTGGTGCTGTTTGCTCGGGTGGGAGAGGGGATAAAGGCTCCCTGCTTGCTGCCTTCCTCGCAGGGTTTTTTAGACTCAAAGATTAGCAGGGACTTGCATATGTGTTGTCTTATGAAACTGAAAAAATCAGGGTTGATGTCTGCTAGTGTTTGTGGACTGAGATGAGTTTTGACATGTCATGTTTGCGCGCGTCTACACTGTATGATGACATCAACGGTACGCATTTGGCGTCTACCCTACCTATGCTTTCGTTTTTCCCACTATATTGATGTTGACAAACGCAGAGCGACACCACTCATGCATTTTCCCATTCCCAGCAGTTGCAAAGATGAGCGGGCCTAAACTACCGCACTATTCTACTGAGACACCGCTTCTTGAATGATGTTATCACAGAATTCTACCGCCAGTTATGTCAATAAAGCTACCAAATTCTGACTTGCCGTTGATCACTTGTATTCAAATCAAAGTGCGACTGCTCGAAAGCTCGCAGATCGCCAACATCACTATGTGCTTGTTCTCTTGTGACCTCATCTAATTCAATAAGGTCTGTCACATACTTGTAATATGCTTGCATCTAGTGAGATCTTTTCGTTGTGTCGCAAATGCTTCCTAATAAGGTTTAGAAGTGCACGATAGTATACTGTCCCAACCTTCGAAGCCAATTCAAAGCCAATTGCTACCGAAAGGTGTACAGCTATGCCGTGTAGTTGACTAACACACCACGTTCACGTCACTCCGTTCAAACCATCCAGACATCAGAATTCATTACTCTTTGGTAATTTCCATCAAGTATCAAGAGAAATAAAGGTTTCGCCAGCGCAACATGGGTCTCAAGTCCATACATTTTCAACCCAGGAAGAATTGCAGGAGAGGTGATGGGAGGATGAGGAGAAACGCGGGCTTTAGCATTTATAGGCCTCGCTTCTAAATCAACCTAGAGTGATGACCCATTGGCAACTGTGACAGTCGCGCGAAGATATCATATGAAATAAATATTGTTCTCCGTTGAATGGCCTTCTTATCATGTGAATAGTAACTCTATTTTGAGTGAGAGGCTAGCTCGAGCCATATATGATAATGATATTGGCTTCTGAAGTCATAAATTGGGGAAATGATTAATCAAAGAATTCTCTGAGGGAGAATAACTATGGTCGGACATCATGTTACACGCCAGTCCAATGAAGGCATTGACAACAGACCAACACAATTATCATCACATGGGCATAGCTAGTTCCTCCAAGAGTTTATCTTGGAGTTGTTTAATTTTTGTGGAATGATGATCAGTCTAAACTCTGTATCATTGAAAAGAGCGTAGTTGATGCATTCATATGGAAGAGGAGTGTATAGATCCAAAGGAGAAGCAGATATACAGATTTTATGCGACTTTATCGGTATACCCCTGAAATTCGTACAAAATATCCCATACCACTCATCATGTCGTTTGTAAGAGAAGCAGCATCCATTCCCAGATTACCAGTCATGTTCTAGATCGTTCATGAAGTCAAAACCGCTTTTTTGCAAGACATGCGAGATTTTTACGAGGGATTGTTGATTCCTTCGCACATCTTGTCAAACTAGTGGTGTCGAATACCTATGGCAAGAAAGATGTCGTTTCATGTCTCACATCAAAACACATCAACACTACGAATCACCCTATCAGACGCCCATTCTACAAAATCAGAAACGTAGTTACGCATGAAACGGGGAGCCGAGAATTTTCGCACGCAGATGAGTCATAACTCAAGCTGCTCTCGAATGTCTGCGAGATCAGTTCTGATATGGCGGTCGTAGAGAGCGGAAGACATTGCATCTCACAGCCTATTTTGAGACAACGTGTAATCCGGCTGGAAGGACGACTCTGGCACTTTAAATACTTCCTCTGAATGCTGCACTTCGTGTTCCTGGCAGTAGGCGCATTTTGACTTCCCAAGGTGGGAAACACAGCCCGTAAATATGGCCAGGAGTTTTCTCAATCCCATGCGGGTTCAGTCTGCGCTTTTGAGGAAGGGGAATAACATGAAAGGGGACGTTATTATGCAGTCCCAGTCACATACACGAGGGTTGAGCGAATTTAAGGAGACAAAGTACATGTGATGCAAAGTGCAATACCTATGTCAGTTTACTCACTCAAACCCATTCTCACCCAAGGAACGCACATGAGACCTTAGCAGAAGAATTTCATGTCATAAAAATTCAAAAGATAAAGTAGCCATAGGTAAGAATCTCACAGGATTCTGGGTCTCCCATGGGATTGCGGTAAAATCATCATAAAAGCATGTATGATATCGAGCTTATGAGACTGGATTTTTAATAATCTTGCAAGAACACTGAAGAGCGACAAGTCATGGCAGAACTGCATCTTCATTTATTTATGGGACTTCGTAAATATGTGTAGTGCAGAGGTCATTGAGGAAGAATTGATGAGGCGAAAGTGAGGGCCGGGGGGGGGGGGGAATTATGATCGTAAATATTGGCGCTGGTGCTGTGATTTGCTAGCCAATTTGCTGTTTATGAAAAGCTTGACGAATGATGACTCTTAGATGATCAAAAGGTCATGAAATTAATAGTTGTACAGTTTGCAACTATTTAGTTAGCACCTTTATACTTCGCGGTCCTATGTACAAGCCGACCCCCCACCCCCACCGCGACTGTATTACGATCATCACCACTGTATACCCACTTCTCGATCCTCTCAGGGCAGCTCTCCCAGCCAAATAAATCTACGGGTCCCTCATCGAATGCTCCCTCGCTGTTTCCCTCTTCGGCGACTGAACCGAGCCTGATCATCTGTGCATCCCATTCCTTTCCCACCTCAAAGCCTCCCACCTTATCTTCCAGTCCTACA